TCAGCATCTCTTTGACCTTGCCGAGCACGGTCCACTTCGTCCTGCCATGCTTGAATCTGCATTATTAAAAGTAACTCCTCTGGATTAGCCAAAATCTGAACTTCTCAAAATTGATAAAAGTTGTTTTCAAGAATTATGTACTAAGCTGGAGTAGATTTTGACAACGCCATGTAATTTTTTATGTGAAAACGACCCACCATAAAATCCAGTAGAAGATTTAAACTCACATACATGAGTTATCAGAGTTACCAAGGGATCATAAATACTTTTTGCATATAAGTACATTTTGGAAATATGTTCTGTAGTTTTTCCTTCTAAAAGAAAATTTGAAAGTGTGCTAAGAACTCATTGTTGAAGGTAACTTCCACGATGTAGATCATGATAACCTAATATAACATACCTGGATCACTTGGTTTGCTTCATCTGGGGCCTTCTTTTGTCCTCTGCGAGCACGAACTTCCATATCTTGCAGCTCTTGATTCAGAGATGTACATTCGGCCTGAGTATTATTTGTCAATTCTTTGAATGAAATTCAAGTATATGAGGGAACAAATTGCATTGAAGATAAGTTCATCTACCTCAAGCAATGCCACCTTCTGTTCAAGATCTGCCACTTTCGCTGTCCTTTCATCAGCAATTCTCTGAAATACCATCCAATTAAAAAGTCAGATCAAAGTAGTTTTTGGGAAACAAGAGTTCCACATAGAATCTTTACATCGTTCATATATGTAGCATATGAAAATACAAAGGTTTTCTGAATTTCCATGCCGAAAAGAAGGAGAAAACAATTTAAGAAGAGAAAGCCAACACTCAGAAACTAACAGCATATCAAGTTGGATGGCCTATTTGAAATGTAAACAAGTGATAGTAGCGGTCTATCCAAGAATTCTGTCTCACCTGAATTCTAACAAGTGCTGTGGAAGCATCCACAGCCCTGTGCTCTAGTTCCCTTTCCCTTTCCATGGCAGCCTGTCTTAGAATCAACAATTCATGTAAGAAAAAAAAATTGATATAATGTTTTCATTATAAACAATTTTCGCATCGTTCAGGCAACAAACCATTTTTGTGGCATTATGCGCAGAATGCTCCTCTTCGGCTCTCCTTTCAGTAGTGGCAAGCTCCTCCCGCAATGCCTGTAATAAGAAAATATTGATTCAATGGTCTGAGGACCTTATATGTTTCTAATTGTATATACATGGCGGTAAATTATTGGTAGTCATTGATGAAAAAAAAATTAGTAATACCTGCATCATCCTAGTCTCAGCCAATTCTCTGTTTCTCAAAATAGACTCCATATCTCCCTGATAGAAGTAGTAAATGATTTTATTAAAAGCAGGTTGGGTGAAAAAAGAAAATGGCAACTGAAGAGATAAGTAACTAGGACCATTAAATACTCATGGTATGCTATGATAGGAAGCACACAAAAGAAAAATGAGTAAATGAGAGGCCAAGAAACCTGGAGAGACGACAATTTTCCTTCATTCAGAGCAGCCTGATTTTTCAGGGCATCCATTGCGCTGACAAGTGTTTCTATCTCTGAGTTCTTAGCTGCTAGTGCCTCAACCATGCTTGACTCTACTTTCGTCACTTCACTTTTAGCAGCTGACAGATCTTTTTGCAACTGTCTAATGCTAGCTTCATATGACTTGGTAAGCTCTTGCTATTACAGAAAAAAAAATAAAAAATTAGGTGCACTGAGAGCACCTTAGAGTATCAAAAGAAACTCAAAACTGTTGAAATTTACCTCTGCAGAGAGAAGCTCTTCTAACTGTGCATTTTCCGCTTTAATTTCTTGAAGACGGGATGAAAGTCCAGCACAAACCTAGAAGAGATGAAGACAAAAAATGCATAAACAAAAAATGCATACATCTGAGATTGCTCAGATCCAACCACAGACATGGATAAATCCTATCTTACATATGAAAGAGTACATTATCAACTATTTGATGCAGGAAAGTAGCGAAGGATATTTGAGCTTACCCTTGCTAACCTTGCTTCTTTTGACTGCCCAGTGGAAACGGTAGCTTTTAGCAACCCCTGAGCCTAGAATAAGTGAATAGATTGATCAACAGACTTTTAAGAAGACAACATACATGGAAATTTAAGTGGCAGCCATAGCATTTTCTATTTTCTTCATTTCCATAGACTAACTAACCTCTTCAAGTTGATCTTGAATCTTCACGGAAGTCGTATCAGCTCTACGATCTTGCTCTCTTTTCAGATTGGTTGAGGTGTCAGGAACTTCCGGTTCCTGTTCTTTCTCCAGATTGATTGAAGTGCCAACTTTCACCTCATCGCCCGTGCTTTGAGCCACATTCCCTTCACCAACCGAAGGAACATGCACTACAGATTCCAGTTTCTCCAGATCTCTTTTTGAAGAATCAACTAACTCTCGTTGTGCGCCATTTTTGGGAGCATCAACGAGGTTCTCACTGACAGCGACCTCAATTTCTTTGTCAGGTAAAGATGGTGATGGTTGCACCAAAGAATCATTTGGAATATCTCCATCAGCATGCTTTGACTCAGCTCCATCACCGTCCACAACAGATTCTGAACCTACCACAGCAGCATCATCACTTTTTGTATCTGCCACTGATTGTGGAAGTGATTGGACACTCTGGACATCTGCATCAGTCCTAATCTCATTTGTCTGCAAGACAGGCCCTGATGAAGATGCTTCGTCAATGGATGGAGGCACCTCTGACTGTGATACCCCTGGGCCAGATTGATCACCAGAAAAATCTCTTTTATTAGAAGATTCTTCTTTTACAAGTTTCTGTCGAGCCTACAAATACATTCCACAACAAAGAAGTTCATCTTGAGTATCGATGTACCAAACAACGAGATCAACTTACAGATAAGAGATCCACAGTAATACCTTTTTCTTTGAACTTGTTCTCTTCCCTTGAGACCCTTTCCTACCAGAAGCTTTAGCCACCCCAAAGAAAGACATACACAATATAAGAGACATATACACATGACTACAAGTTTCAAAATTATAAAGATTTGACCATCAAACTTTGCTTTAGATCAACTCCAGGACAATGCCTATGTTTCTAATCACATACAGATCAAACCAGTACCAAAGAGAAAGCTTTTAGTTCTATCAGAGTAATCTCTACACAGTACCTGGCAACTGCAAATCAGTCTGTTCTTCCGAAAGCTCTTCAACCACAGATTTTGCTCTTCGATCCACAACCTCAAATAAATCTGACGAAAAATTTAACGGAAACTTCAAAATTTGTAATCACGAATTTGAATTGCAAATAAACCACTACAATATTACCTTCGGCAGCTTTGAGCCAAGACGCCATTGATGAATCAGAATTGAAACAAACTCTCCGTTAATGGAGCTTCCATGCACCACCGGCTAATTTCACGATTGAAATCAGCAGATGCTTTAGAGAATCAACAATGGTGTTACGGATTCGAGTCTGATCTCTGTTGTTCCAAGGAGAATCAAATAGAAAAGCGCGAACGAATTCTTCAATCAGAATTTAGCGTATGAGTATGAGCGAAGAAGGAAGAACTCAGATCGTTGATCTGGTGGTGCCACGACCACCTGATTTACAGTGGTCTAGCTCATCGTGGCCGTCGAATTGGGATTATAGTAAACAGAGTAAAACGATGTCGTTTTTCTCGGAGATGGTCTAAGTGTAGGATTGGTAATGACATTTGTTTCTCTTATGTTTCTAAGCTGTTTTCTCCTCTGTTTGTAATTTGTAAACATTTCAATTCAATATTTACCAGATGAAAAAAAAATAAACAAGGTTACTTTACGAATACATTTTAGCTGGTGTCTAGTGATGTACTTCATTTACTAGATGGACGCTAGCTTCTAACTCCGTGTGAAGGGGTCAAAAAAATTCTCTGCTAGTGACTGATGTAGTTTCCAAAAGATCGTCTCGCCATCTTAATTTTTACAAATCCAAACAAAACTTATATAAACCGATTAATCGAGATTATCTAGTCTCTAAAAACTATTTTTCAGCATCTTGTTTCGACATGGTTCAACGGATGATGAAAGTTCTGGTTGTTTGTAGACGGAATCACCATCTTTACTAAGGTCCTTTTTAGTCTAATCAACTTGTGGGAGGTTCCCAAATCGAACCTTTAAATATATTCTTTTATCAAGCCTTTTCTAAATGAACTATAAAATCCACGGAAATTTTTGTAGGTTTTCTCTCTTTTCATCTTTGGAGATGCACCAAACAATAGAGTTAGAATTGTATATCGCATGGAACTTCTTGGATAATTGCAATCCATTCTGATTTTAACAAATTATGTGCTATCCAATATCTCCGCTTTCAAAATACAAACAAAACGTTTCCTCCCATATATGTCGGATGCAATGATTCCTCGAAACTCAACGTCATGTTAAAAGTTAAAACTATGCATCATTGTGTTTCTTGAAAAGTCAAAACATCGCTCTTTTGGTTCCTTTTAACTCTATTTCAATAAACTTAGTACTTTTAGAATTAGGAAGATGATAAGCTGTTATTAAACCGACCCAGTAGACAACTTTTAATCATTTTAAAGTTAAAGAAATGTTGATGTCCACAGGCTATAGAACTTTTATCTACTCTATTATATGTAGGATGCTTAGAGTCGCATAGCCCGCTTTAACCGCATCATAAAGCTCCCCAAGACAGAAATTTGCTCCATAATTTCTGCTAGAATTGTGACTACTTCTAAATTAATTGGGCATGCTCTTCAAAAAAAAAAGAACCATAATTATCTAAATACTCGTAATCAAATTTACCGGAAGCACAATATTTCATGTCTCTTAGCTACTTCTTTTCACAACTGATTTACTAGCTCTAGATACCAACGGACTAAATACAAAGGGAAATAACTCCGATTATACTTTACGAAAATATTGAAAATCTTCTATAACAAAAAGTTCATAAAATATTATATGAAATGTATGTAACCACAATTTATTTAACCAAATTGACCATCACATATTATTCTGAATGATTTCACAGCAACAACACTAATAATACAAACCAATAGATCATAAACTTGGTTTTATAGTCTTATACATATAATGGATCAGTAACTTAACATATTAATTATTGTCAAATCACATTACCATATGGATCATTTCTTCACATCAACATAATCAATAAGGACGTGTATTCTCATCACCCACTGGCATAGGATAATAGTTACATACAATATAAATTAACTCATTCTCATGACACCTGAACGAGCCACATCCGAGACTGAACGACTGATTGGCCACCATCTGAGTGTAGTGTCCGCAAACATCTTTGCACTTGTTGGTCGCATAATCGTAGTTTGGCTTCTCCGTCAACCAATACTTTGCCGCGATCGGACCGCTCATTTGGTCTTCAGGTTGGACCCATCCCGCAGCGATATTCTCGCCGTAAGGTCCATCAGAATGTCTCATGGAGCTGTAGTCGCAGACTCCGGCTTTGGCTTGTCTATTTGCGAACTTCTGTGCATAGGCCGCTACTGTTCTGTTCCACTTCAATGGAGCCACCCCGACCGCGGCTCGGATCTGGTTGTGAACCTTTAGCGTTTTTTTCGGTTGGACATCTTTGATTGGTCTTACCCTAGGTAGACCATAGGCTAGAGTTAACAAAACAGAGAGTAATGTCAGAACGACGAAGCTATAACGAAAAGGCAACATTTTGTTATGTTTTTGTGAATTTTTTTGGAACTTATGGTTCTGTGATCTCAATTCTGATTGTTCTTCCTCCTTATGTAGGCCTAAAAAAATAATTAAGAAAGGCTCTGCAACTATTTTTGAGATTATCTATATATACATTTTTGGATGACTTTTAGCAAATAAATCCTGGAGTTGGAATGTATTTACGGATGAATGCCATTGACATTAAATTATTTAAATTTGAAAAATATTAATTAAAGATATTACCAACACGATTTCGAGAATCATAAATTCATATCTTCCTTAATTTTCTGAGTCATTAATGTGATAATCTTTAGGAAATATTTCTCTGTAAAAAAAAAAATCCACATTAATGAAGGCATTAAAATCGACACTAACAATTAAATTATTTAGATATTCAATTATTTTAAGATTCTTATATCTTATTTGATAATTTTTTTTAATATCTCATTCTTTAATTACTGCGTTTAGAATTTTATGGTTGTTACCTATTTTTTGATGAAATTTATTGGTTGTTACTTAATAAGTAATTATGGTGCGTTTATTTTAGTTAATATCTAATTTAAAGGATTTGTTTTCTTTTATTATTAATAAACGAATAACATGTATAGAAATAAAAGATTTTTCTTGCGACTCCATAATAAAAATATTAAACTCTTATTTTCTACATTTCTTACACATAATATCCTCTTATTCAATAACAAAAAATATATATTGCATATTTTTAAAAATATTTATAATATTTAAATTATATAAAAAGTTTGTAATATTAATATTATTTCAACTCTATACAAATTTAATATATATGTATATATATCTTATGGGAACCATTTAAAAGAAATTTTTAAATTGACTTGAATTATATAGCTTTTAAATAAAAGTATTATTAAAAAGAAAAATAACTAAATGATGTTTAATTTCACGGGACGGGTAATATGATGGGACGGGTTTGGGTTGATATTTATAAAAGATAGTATACCACGGGTGAAATCCTAAAATTAACAATCAAAATAATCTATCAAACAAATTACATTTTGATTTTTTTAAGAAAATATAGTCCCGCGGTGTACCGCGGGTTAAAATCTAGTATATTATTAAATATGTATGGTTAACGTAAAGTTATTTTGGTGAGGTACGGCCGAATTTGGAAGGTTTATCTTTCTTCTATTCATTAGTCAATTAATCTCACACAATTAATCTTAGAAATCCCTTAAAATAAGATAAATCTAGAATAAATTCTTTAGTATTAAATCTTGAATTTCAGAATTAACAAAAGAAAATTTGATAGCAAAAAAAAAAAAGATCAAGAGATCAAATGCATTTTATGACTTTATAGATATTTTTTTTGTTAGTTCTATGACTTTATAGATTTATAGGAGAATTTTAAACTGAATTTCCAAAATATTATAGATTTGTGATTTATTAGTTTTCTTATTCTTTTCCTTAAAACAAAGGTTTATCAACAAAGATAAAATCAAATCAAAGCTTTGAGTGATGAGTAAATAGTAATATACAGAAAATGATAAGACTTATCTTCACGGATTTACCTAAACTTAATTACACACTGAGTGATCTTGTATACTAACACCAATTGATCATCCAATCAGTCCACATGAATAATATGGCCAAAAAATTTTAAACCACCTAGCACCCCAAACCCAAGTTTCATCGGTTTGGCTTAGAGCCGACTCTAATCAGACACTAGTCAATTAATTTCTATCAGTATTCTGCATGGGAGAAAATCTAGTAGTTGTACCTTTTTTTTTTTGGTATCATTGTCGTACATATTCACAACACTAACACAAATTAAACCACTAAGTACATGTAATGGTCGTTAGTCCATTAACAGGTAAAGCATTTAATTTAATACTGTAATATATTAACATCCTATGTATGAAAGAGTCCCAAAAACAACTTTAGGACATAACATTTACAACAAAAGAAAATCTAAAAAATTTGAAGACAAATACATAAAGTTTGATGTAAATGCTTACTCGTAAATTCAGGTAATTAACCACAAAAGTCAGAATCAGTGACGTGAAACACGATCGTTAGTCCCACCGAAATCGAGATTTGATTGGTCGTAAGAAAATAATGTTTATAATGGTCGTAAGTCTGGTAAGTAACGTATAAATATAATCCAATAATCCATCTCGTCTTTGTAATATTATAATGAGAAATTGTTAAAAATGCCCCCTTTTCAATACCCCTTTTCAAAAATGCTCCCTTTGAGAGTCCATTTTTAAGTTTGCCCTCTTTTAATTTTTAATGACTATTTTACCCTTATTTGAAACAAAATTAGGTCCACAAAATACAAAATATTTTTTGGCGGGAAAAGTGATCCCGCAATTTTCCCGCCAAAACACTTGTAAAAAACCTTTAAAAAACCTTGTAAAATTTTCCCGTAAAAATTTTTCCCGCCAAAAAATTTTCCCGCCAAAAAATTTTTTTTGCGGGAAAAGTGATTCCGCAATTTTTTTGCGAAATTTTTTTGGCGGGAAAAATTTACAAGGTATTTTAAAGGTTTTTTACAAGGTATTTACAAGTGTTTTGTAAGGTTTTACAATGTATTTTAAAAGCGTTTTACAAGGTACTTTAAAGGTTTTATAAGGTATTTATAACTTGTAAAACCTTATAAAAAACTTGTAAAACCTTATAACTTGTAAAAACCTTATAAAATAGCTTGTAAAATCTTATAATCTTATAAATACCTTGTAAATACGTTGTAAAACCTTTTAAAATACATTGTAAAACCTTATAAATACCTTGTAAAAAACCTTTAAAATACCTTGTAAATTTTTGGCGGGAAAAATTTTCCCGCCAAAAATTTAACGCCAAAAAAATTGCGGAATCACTTTTCCCGCAAAAAAAATTTTTTGGCGGGAAAATTTTTTGGCGGGAAAAAATTTTACGGGAAAATTTTACAAGGTATTTTAAAGGTTTTACAAATTTTTACAAGTGTTTTGGCGGGAAAAATTGGGGGATCACTTTTCCCGCCAAAAAATATTTTGTATTTTGTGGACCTAATTTTGTTATATTTCCTTATATATTTATGATATCTTTTATTAAAAGAAGGGTAATTTAGTCATTTTGTACATAAAAGGGGTATTTTTAAAAATAGACATCCAAAGGAAGCATTTTTGAAAAGGGGTATTGAAAAAGGGGCATTTTTGTGAGTCTCCCTATTATAATTCACGTGAATTTTATTCAACACCCGTGATTTGTTCTCAGCTTCATTTTCGGAGAGTAATTGTTGACTCTTTACTTTTTTAGTATTGGATCTTAAAAGGTTTGCTGATTTCTTTCTTAGTATGATCACTTTTTTAGTATTGATTTACATACGTTGATTTTAATATTGTGCGTGTTTTTAGTAAAACGAATCGTGTAGTGTACTTATAAATATTCTTAATAACAAATTGTAAAGAAAATATTAAATTGTTTATAATTAAACCAATCATATTAATTATGATTTACATAATGGAATTTTGTGTTTTAGAATTCAAAAATTAGACGAATCATGGGAATTAAAGCAGTCAAAATCGGTCAAAAACCGCGGGTCGAGCCCAAATCATCTCACTATAGGGCAGATTTGGGAAAATATATTAAACCCGCAAATAAGCGGGCCACATGGATTGATTCGCAGTGAGTCATCGATTTTCGTCCGAGGGTTAGCGGATCAACCCGCATGATAGTATTTATTGATAAAAATATAATTTATTCAACATGTGGTAGTTTAAAAAACTTTTAATAAATGAAATTATAATATTTATAAATATAATGATATATAAGATTATTTTCTCTAAAAAAATTTTAATTTATTTATTTTAGTAGAATTTTAAATTTTGGTTACTCTAAAATTATTTAAACAAAATCCACGGATTACCCCGCAAATCAGCATACATTCACGCGACGGGTTTGTGTTTCATTTATGCTACCCGCGGGTCGGGCGGACAGACTAACTACATGCCAAAGTATATTTTGCCTATTGCAAAACAGGCTTAACGGGACGAATCAACTCGTTTTGACAGCTCTAATAGAAATATTATTTAGTCATACAACACAATGGAGTTTGGACATAGGAATAATAGAATATGTATCTTATTTGTTAGATGAGAGATTGAAAGGTGACTAAATAATATTTAAAAAATAATTAATATTTTTCATGATTCACAAAATTTAATAAATATTTATCATTTTGTTGAATAATTCTAAAAATCATATTCAATAAATCTTTATAATTTGAAAATTAAACTTCTTTGGTAAGTTATAAGTATGAAAATACCATAATTTTGATTTAATCTAATTAAATTAAAATTAGTTACATAGATTTCATATCTATTTAATTTACATGACCAAAATAAAAATATCTATTTAATTTATAAAATAGATTGGTTAGTTGTGATAAATTTTCTAGAAATCTCTAGAAGAAAGTAAGATATCTTTTAATTAATTATAACTGGCTAAAATAAACAAAATTAATGAGAAAAACGTTGATTGTTATGAAATTAGTTCCAAAATTATATGAACAAATATATTATACGTAATTAATGTATAACATTATTCGGAATATGATTTTATAATTAGTTACCATTAGTACATATTATACATTTAGTCGACCTAAAGAACAGAAAAGAACATAGCAAAGTATAATGAAAGTATACTAATTTCTGATTTTGACATCAAGAAAGATCAATTACACATTCTAGTGATTCAATGGATTTCCAAGCTCCATCAATTAGACTAAAAGCAGACACAAATATCAGAACAGAGATAATTTCAATCACTATGTAGTAAAAACTCAAGGTAGCAGGTATAATTTATAGAATCTAACACAGTATCCACAGTTGATAATGCAGAATACCAAGAGTTTAGAGCATAACGTAAAACAAAGACATTCAAGGTTCAAAAAAACTACTACTATCATCTGTAGGAGTCTCATCTACGTTCAAATAAATATCTACAAAAGACTACAAGATGCATCATTTCATAAATTAGAAACCTTAAGTGCACCAAAACAAAGATAATACTAATGTTCTAAAACCATACGTGTAATCTTACTTTCTATCAATGTATGATGCAGAATTCCATAATGCCGTTTCTTATGCTGAAAATGATCAAC